TCCCCACACCCGCCCGGCGCCTCACACCTTGAGCAACTCCGGAGAAGAATAGAGTCCAACCCCTATCCAGAAGTAAGGTTCCAGAGCCGACGCTGTGCGTAGAGGTGAGCCCAACCAGATCCAACTGGTAACGCTCCACCTCCCGCACAAGCTCCGACTCCTTCCCCCCCAGAGAGGTGACGTTCCACGTCCCCAAAGCCAGCTTCTGTCGCCCGGGTCTGGTCCGTCGAGACCCTCTGCCTTCACTGCCACCCTTCTGGCAGCGCACCCGACCCCATCGCTGTTTCCCGTAGATGGTGGGCCCGCGGGACGGAGAAGCGGAGGTGTTGCCCACGTCGCCTTTTCGGGCTGTGCCCGGCCGGGCTCCGTGGCAAGCCCGGCCACCAGACGCTCGCCGACGAGTCCTCCTTCTGGGCCTGGCTCCAGAAGGGGACCCCGGGCTTCCTCCGGGCCGGGTATCCTCACTTCGTGTGTCGTCTTTCATGAGGTCTTCTGAACCAATCTTAGTCTGACCCCTTGCCTGAGACCAATTTGCCATGGGAGACCCTACCAGGAACACAAGGTTCCAGACAACACAGCCCCCAGGTTCATCAGGGCACACAAACCTCTCTACCACGGTAAGGTGCTGGTTCTTCAGCATGTAAACATGTCACAGTAAAGGCACAATATACTAATATGAAACCTGAACATTAGCATAATAGGGCCCCTTTAAAGGATTTAAGGATGGTTTACATTTTCTGTAGATAAAAAATATTTAATAAATATTATGACTGCTCAAAACATGAATACAGATTGTCTACAAATAAAACTACATTTTGAAAGAAAATAATATAATAAAATCCAAAGAAATTGTCTGAATAATTTTCTGCACAAAAACAATGTTGTTTGTTGAAATATTAGAAAACATGGTGTAAGTCAACTTCCCCAGTACATGTCACAGGACGCCATAATCACTAGACGCTCAAAATAGTGTGTGTATTGAGAATTGAGAATGTATTGACTCGGTCTTGCCCAGGACAAATATCTCTTTGATTTGACATGTTATTACAAGGACTGTGTAAATCAATGGGCCTGATTTATCTTTGAAAATACAAATAGAAACCTCCCTTTGTTGTAACCACCACAGAGGTAACTGCCACAGCTGTAGTTACTTTTCATGGATAATGATTTGCAGCGGCTAATCAGATCTAACTATCACGGGGGGTCCATCAAACAGGTGGGCTCTGAGCTGCCATCGATCTCGTCCCGCAGCAATGCAGGACAGGGAGGCCACATCAGTGATGGGGGAGGGCAAAGCCATGTTGTTATTGCTGGCTCAACATAATAGAGAGTGGGAAGGGGAGTGACATTCTGTACACTATGAAGGCTTTACACAATAACAGAAGACCTATCATGATGGATCCAACCGCAGATTTTATACAATAACCTTGAGGTCAGGTTAATATTGCAACATATATCCAGCTGTGTAATCACAACCTACAGCAGGAACAGCTGGAGGCTCTTTATCTCTACAGAACACAGTCACCTGCCACAAATCCACCACAGCCCACCTGATGGGGACAAACCCTCCGCCTGCAGGTATTAAAGGATTTATGCACAAGAAATGAAAACAGCATCTGCACCCAATGTTGGGATTTATTTTCCATTTCCCTGAAAATATATTACTTATTCCCACCTCAGCTTTATAGGTAAAGGCTACTGTTACACTAAATTCCAAAACCCCACTGTGATACAACCTATTAAGAATGAACACCATATGCTACAAGTCTTCCAGCAACAATGAGGGTGTGTTAAACTAATAAAACCTTAAACTAATGAAGTGCCCCATCCCTTACTAACAATATCGAAGGAAACATTAATCAGACAACATTCAATATCACAGCTGGGGTTTACAAATTAAAACAAAGTGTGATCTATTTATAGATTGCAACAGAGTGTATTATATCTACAGAATAAGTTGTAGGCTGTGTAGAAAGGGCTGCAGCAGTGGAAGCTGTAGTTTCAGCGATACCGGTGTAACCCACTTAGAATAACAGTCATTACCACAGCCTGATCCTCACGAAAGAAGACGCAAATGGACTCTCCATTGCATCCATCCTTGAACCAAGACCACCACCCCACCATTTAAAAGACTTTTTTCCCTGTGTGTGTATACTGTATTGTCATGAAGGCTTCTGCGGCAAAAGATACTCACCTTTAGCAGACATGCCCGGTAGGTAGCCTCTTTTTCTTTGCCGAGACAACCAGGAGGAGATGCCCCGGTGCAGCTGTAGAGGAGGGGGGTGGGGGGAAGACCAGTTGACAGGCGGATATTATCTGTTCTTTAAGTTTTTACCTGTCATTTGTTGGGATTAAACGCAGGGAAGCATGCAGCCCGCGATTTGGTAGACTAGACTAGACTGCACGATGGATAGAGCACTTTCCAGCGACAGGGCGTGTCCTGGAACAGACAGCATCCTTCCAATTTCCCGACAAGTTTATGTCCATATTTGAACATAGTGTACCATTAAATAATTATTAGGGAGTTATAAATGAATTGATTCTTTCAATTCCTCGTCTGCAGCTGCTGTCTGGTCCGCCTACTTCTATCTGGGATGACTGTGCTGTTTCGGACGTGGTAGTTGGGCTAAATCACAAAGTTGACAGGCACTATGGAGGAATGCATGTTCTTTCTCATTTTTTCCTCCATTAATCCAGCTACTCAAAAGGAAATATTTGGCGTTATTTTCCTCACGTGGGCTCTTCAAAAAAAAATTCTAAATCAGTGGGATTAAAGCATGCGTTAACTCAGCTCTACAGTATGTGACAAAAAAACACTGCAATATCATAGAATAGCCGAGTCCGTGCATTATGGGAGCAATCAATTGATTTTGCAGTTCAGCGGATATTTTCGAAATAACACATTGCTTGGTTCAGAATTCCATACTTACTATATATTTGACGTGGGGTTAATGATTCTTGTTCCCAAACTGTAAAAATAGAACATCGTCCCTGATGGTATGTAGGCTATTTATGTGTTCATTTGTATGCCTTGATGGTGGTCTGTAATTATTAGCCGGTGCCTTATGTGCCTGCGCCCCCTGGTGTATTAGAAAGAGAGGCGTTTGGCGAGGGAAGTGCCACCGTGTCCAAAGTGAGAAGACCCAGACGATACTTCAGTCTGTGGCTGTCTTGTTTACAGTGGTTGTGCCAGGCCTTTGAAGACCTGTGGCAGACAACGTGTTAAGATTTTATTGCTTACCTTTATTATTTCGTTACAAGGGTCAGTGTATGAATCCAATCTGGATCGAGGCGGCAACAACAGGAAGAAGAAGATAGAGGAATTCTCTAGGTCTTCTCGGGAGAAACTAGTCCAGTCAAAGAACAAAATGTTTTCCAAATTTACGTCCATTCTTCAACATGCTGTTGAAGCGGTGAGTATTATTTTTCAAAAACAACATTTATTTATCGTGTATTTTAGTTGAAAGGGGTCCATGGTCGTCCAGACACAAAATAACATAACGTCAGCATAAGGGATACATTGCTAACTGGCGAGCTAACTAATTAGCCTAAGCTAATGTTAGCGTTTTGTGTTTGTCATGCCAACTTGTTCGTCCCTCTTATCGATAATATATCCGTGAGGTTGTCTCTTTGTCTGTTCTGTTGTACCACAAACTAACACATTTCAGTGTTGTCATTTTGTATCTTCGGTGGAGCAAGACGTGTTTAATGTAGTAAGGCTAGCTTAGCTAGTTAGCCGCTAATGTTAGCTAAAAACAGACCCAAAAAGCTAAAGTATTGCTGTAGCTAGCTATCTCGTTTCAGGCGGAGTGGTGTCGAAACCACTGAACCACCTGGTTCAATGTTGCGTAAACGTTTTAACCTTAACATTAAAGGAAAGGTCTGTGGGTTATCTCGCACAGCCTTTCTGTAAAGCCTAATCTAACACGTTAGCCATCTAGCTAAGAACCTTTTATAGCATGCCTTTAAAACAGGTTCAATCGACTGCAAGTCAAGTGTTTAAAACAAAATACGTCTGGCAGGTGAACACTTTAGTCTTCTGGCGTAACAGTTGCTTGTTAATGTATTACTAACTTGTTTTCCGGACCTATGGCTCTCTGGTGTTTACGAAGACCATATTCACAACGCGTTTAAAACATTATCAAAGTCATATTGTAGTGGCACATTACCTCTGTTCAACACTGAGAAGGTATTATTGAAAGTGACAGTATTGCTAGAAGACATACATTTCCCCAGAACAACCTGTCTCCTAACTAAGTCGGTTGGAAGCTACTGACTTATGTAAACATGTTGCCTTGATAATAGGTGTTTCTCTCCTCCTCACCAGTGTAAACATACAACAACGTCTATGTTTGCATTTTGTCTTTTTCAGCTTGCCCCGTCGCTGCCCTTGCAGGAGGACTTTGTCTATCACTGGAAGGCAATTACACATTATTACATCGAGACATCTGGTAAGAAATGTTTTAATGGATAAGTCATGATATTCCCAGATGTTGATTGGTATGCAGGTTGCTTTCACAGTTTGTCCCGCATTGATATGACCAGTGTGGATATAAACAATAGCAGGAAACTAAGTTTGTCAGACTGTATGTAGGCTTGTCTATATTACAGTAACATATAACAGTATATTTGCTGCTGTTAATCAACTTATTGTCAACATGTAGCATTAGTAAGGAAGTGCAAATGGAATGGTAGTGAAGAAATCTGAATTAAATTGCCAATTTTTAATTATATTGGAACTGTTATGCTGGTTGAGTTTGAAATATATCTCAACTTGTGGGATCTATGCAAGTTGAACAAATATACTTTGCGTCAAATCGCAACTAAGATTTACTTGGCAACGAAAGCCAGTCAAGTAAAGACAACTTCAATGAAAACTTCTGCCGTCTAGTCTGTATTTTGCGGTCGTAAAATCTGCATCTCTTAAGTATTCATTATCCCAAACCACAGCTTCTTCTCAGCAGTTCTTCTAGTTTGGCCAGTTTAACAAAATACACCCTGAACAGCTGAGGGGGGATTATCTGTACTTTTGAGGGTTATGCTGAGCTAGTTTTCAGGGGCATTTAATCACAGATTTTCCAGACTTGTGACTTGAATTAACTTCTTCTATACTTCCAAGGTCACTTGAGAAATAATTGATTATTTTGATGAAAATGGTTGTGATTTATCTTTGTGACATTAACATTACTTATTGACAGCATTGTTTGCTCTGTTACTTTCAGCTTGACAGACATGCGTAACGTTAGTTGATTTAATGCACAGCATTCCCCTATTTATTCATATTTGGCAGCAGTCGTTCTATCATACGCAGCGTTTTGTGAAAGGTGCATGCTTTTCTGTCATGCTCCCTTCCTTTACTCACTTCTGCTAATGTGTAAACAGCCTTCTGTCAGCAACTCACCAATGTCTGCATGTGCTTTACAATACATGTATCACCATTTAAAACCAGTGAGAAATGGTTACTGTCATAAGATTTTACCGCAACCTCTTTTGCAACTTGACAAAAAAAAGATTGTAGGTCATCAAATAACATTGGACTGAGTTACACCAAAACAGTTAACTTTACACATATGGTTTCAAACAAATACAACATCAAATGTATGGTTTTAACATTTGTTTGTTGTTTTTGGGGAGATACCTGTGCAGTTGAATTGAAGTGGTTAGATAAACGATTGCTGGAGCTTTTGGCACATGGCCTTTTTCTTTATGTATCTCATGGACATACCAAGGTTCCGACATATCTGTGTTTTCCCCTCTTAGATGACAAAGCTCCAGTCACAGACACCAATATCCCATCCCACCTGGAACAGATGCTGGACATCCTGACCCAGGAGGAAAGGGAGAGGGAGTCTGGAGAGACGGGGCCCTGCATGGAGTATCTCCTCCACCACAAGATCCTCGAGACTCTCTACACCTTGGGAAAGGCAGATGTAAGGCATTCATGCTTTGGTAACTACATGTTCTATACCCCCAGGGAAATATAGATAACACATATGGCCCTGATATGTATATGTGGTAAATTAATTGTGGGAACTTGGCCCATGGAAGTTTGGGAGGCTAAACACAACAGTGATTGTACAATCAGATCAGAAGACACAATTTCACTATGCTCTTAAATGAATCCGCAATGTTGGCTAAATTCCACTCATGGTGGCGACACATATATAGTTATAAAGTACATTTTAACATATTCTGTTTTTAATTTTTTTTAAATGTAATTTTTCATCAGTGTCCTCCGGGGATGAAGCAGCAGGTGCTCACCTTCTACACAAAGCTGCTAGCACACATTCGTCAACCTCTCCTGCCACACATCAATGTCCACAGACCTGTGCAGGTGAGAAGTGATGTAGTCTGGATTTCAGTGTCTTTCTGATAATCCTTCTCCTCAAAATTGTACACGAACAGTGAGGTTATGTAACTTATCCTTTACTTTTTTCCCCATGTCGCTGTGAAATTCCTTTGACAGAAACTGGTCCGTCTGTGTGGAGATGTGCTGGCTGCTCCTACAGAAAACGAAGAGATTCAGTTCCTCTGTATAGTCTGTTCCAAACTGAAGCAGGACCCATACCTTGTCAACTTCTTCCTCGAGGTGAGTTGCTATGACACCAGAGAGAGACATTTGAGCATCTCATTCCTAAATGTCAATCTATATTTATTATTGTACAAGAAAGAGCCTTGTATTATGTTTAAGTTCAGAAGAACCTTTAATTGGTTGTGTTATTTGCAGAACAAATCAAAGCGACCTGAGGCGAAGAGACCTACAGAGGCGGGGAAGGACAATGTGTTGGATCCAGACACCGGTCAGTCTGCAGCAATGGGGCGGGCTGACCACCCAGAGGAAGCTGCAGCTGTTGCCTCCACTTCTAGTCCCACCAATAACAACAATAACGGCAACAATTACAATCTCGTCACATCGCTGCTCAACCTCACAAAGAGCCCCGTGAGTAATCCCCATTGAAGATTTATTTAGCCGTCCTTTCTATTTGAGTCGAATGTTAAATCATGAGCTGTATCCATTTCTTCTGCTCTCAGGATGGCAGGATAGTGGTGAAGGCATGCGAGGGTCTGATGCTGCTGGTCAGTTTGCCAGAGCCTGCAGCTGCCAAGTGTTTAACAGAAAACACAGGGCTCTGTGAGCTGCTGACTGACAGGCTGGTGTCCTTCTATAAAGCCCTGCCACAGTCCATGGACCCCTTGGACATCGAGACGGTGGAGTCTGTTAACTGGGGGTACATTTCTTTCACATATTCAAAGAATTGTAAAGAGCTGTTTTACCATCTGAAGTCTTGCTTTTAATTTGACTTGGCAGCGACACCCCTAAATAGCATTCTGTGTAAAATGCTATTTTTAGTGGATAAATGGAGTTTCATCAAAGCTTTTTAATATTTCTACCTTTTTTTTTGTTTCTCTCTTTTCAGTCTGGACGTGTATAACCTGAAGGAGGATGCTGCTATCTTCACAGGAAAGAGGCCTCTCATCTCCTTCCTGTCGTGGCTAGATTACTGTGACCAGCTCATCAAGGAGGCTCAGAAGGTCCTTATCCCACGCTGTGTTTTGATGTGTCACATTGTAGTCAGAATCAAAGGACTTGAAGTTGTTTTTGTTATCTGAACGCCACAGAAGGCTGAAGTACATTTTGTTTTGTCTTCCAGTCAGCAGCAGCAGTGATGGCAAGAAATGTGAGGGAAAGATTCTTTGTGTCTGTGATGGAGCCGCAGCTGATGCAGACGTGAGTCATCAATCAATCATCCTTTTATACGTCTTGTCAGTTGGGTGACTGCTCATTAACATGTGGTGTGTTTGTGGGTGCACATAGGTCGGAGGTGGGCATCCTGACCTCCACGGCCCTGCTGAACAGGATCATCAGGCAGGTGACCTCAGAGGCTCTGCTGCAGGAGATGATCTACTTCCTGCTGGGAGAGGAGACGGAGCCAGAGACTGCTGCGACTGTGGCTCAGAATCCACTGCGACACAGACTCATCGAGCACTGCGACCATCTCTCAGACGAGGTACTTTTCACATCTGATTCAGGAAGTACTTGGTTATGATACGAAATGTGACATCATTCATGTCTGGCTGATTCTTTTCCACCCTTTTGTGATCATAAATGTGCCTTAAACAATGAAAGTTTGATATTCAAGCGGAAAACTGTCCATCTGCCCTTCAAATTCTCAGTGATTCATATGATAATCCAAATTCATTTTAAATAGTGACTGTCACAGCTGTTGCACACATTTGCATCCCTCAAGAGAGAGATGAGTCATGTCTTTGATGTTTGAAGTCACTGCCTACATTTCTTTTAGTCAGTTAGCAAATTGGTTGTTGGGTTTAAGGTGGGAGCTGATCCTCATTCTGTCCTCAGATCAGCATCATGACGCTGCGGCTGTTTGAGCAGCTGATCCAGAAGCCCAACCAGCACATCCTGCACAGCTTGGTGCTGCGCGGCCTGGGGGAGAGGAACTACCTGGAGAACAAACCCCAGGAGGAGCGGGAGCCCCTGGAGAACGGGCTGCCCCACGATGCTGTGTAAGGCCCCGCCTCTGACCTCCCCTCTGCTGCCTTATAACCCTGCATGGAAAATCATCTGCACAAACACACACCAGTGGAAATAAAGTGAATGCATCAACTAGCTTTTTCAGATGGGAAACACATTCAGCAAAAACCTTCCTTTCTTTTGGTGATTCAATCTTTTTATGACATGTTTTTTGGGGAATGCATGTCAACCAGCTATGACTTTAATTATAGTTTTTTGGAGATGATGCATTCCGAGCAATAGCTTGCTTATAGTTTTATATGAATGTTGCTTCATAGTTCATACAGAGGAAATAAGTCCCCAAATAGAACACTGTAATACTGGATTTACATGATCATTGTTTCAAGAGGGTGAGATGAGTTCACGGAACAGCTAAAGACAGTCAGGGACTATACAGACACACTTAAACATACTTAGTAATATCAAACAGGTACAGTAAGTGCAGTAAAACCTCATCCCTACATCATGTACAGTAGACAATAGACATTGATTACAATTCCACACTACACACCAGTATCTATGGTACACCTAATAAGCCTTAATATGCTATCATTCCATAAAACAGTACATATGTCCCCTTTTTAAATACACGATGAAATACAGAGAAAGTGGACTTCAGTGCAATGCAGAATAGAAATTAGAATCCCTTACATTACGCATACAAAAATAATAGAAATGTCATATCGACATGTGTTCTGTCCAAAGAGACCTTGAGGAGGATCCACTGTTCGGGGATGACCTCTCTCCTGATAGCAGGCTGTCCGGATCTGATTGGCTCACCTCCTCTCCACCACAGAGTCCTGACAACTCAAAGTCTGACGGCAAGACGGAGGTCCACAAAATCGTCAACAGGTACACACACACACACACACACACACACACACACACACACACACACACACACACACACACACACACACACACACACACGACACACACACACACACACACACACACACACACACACACACACACACACACACACACACACACACACACACACACACACACACACACACACACACACACACACACACACACACACACACACACACACACACACACACACACACACACACACACACACACACACACACACACACACACACACACACACACACACACACACACACACACACACACACACACACACACACACACACACACACACACACACACACACACACACACACACACACACACACACACACACACACACACACACACACACACACACACACACACACACACACACACACACACACACACACACACACACACACACACACACACACACACATCACACACACATTCTCTCTCTCTCTCT